CAGGAACCTGTCCACACTGACCACGACAAAACACACATGGAGCAATTTGAGTCCCAGCCCCTTATATTCCTTTGGAGGCAAGTATAAATGTACAATTCCCGTTTACCCTTCTAACAGCTATTTACATGAGGATTTTGCATCACTTTAGTTGGCTGATGTTATAATTTCAAGAACAGGCAGATGACAGAACATCTAGCATCTGACTGCAGAGAAACTCTAACATACGTGGTGGGCACTCTGAGAAGTGAGCAAAATGCAAGGCTATAGCCAGAGGTCCTGAGGGTACATTCAAAATGAAGAAACATAACCAAGTGGCTGTTTTAACATTGAGCCCATTCCAGGAGCCACTGGAAAAAAGCAGCAGTAAGACCAAAAAGCAGCCACTGAGCCCAAAGGGCCAGAGCTAAAACCTTTTCATCACCATTATCAGATTGCTCTGCCTTCATAGTCACAAACTGAGGTTTGTTTTTCTTAGAATATCAATATTCCACAACATACAATGATTAAAATAAAACTGAAAAAAATTTCCAATCAAAAAGTAGTTTCACTGTGAGGGTGGTGAAACACTAGAACAGGTTGCCCGGGGAAGCTGTGGATGCCTCATCCCTGGATGAGGCTTTGAGAAACCTGGTTTAGTGGAGGGTGTCCCTGCCCATGGCAGAGGGGTTGGAACTTGATGATCTTTGAGGTCCTTTCCAACCCAAACCATTCTATGATTCTATGATTATTTTTTGCATCTTGGTTAGCATGGCAATCTATATTAAAGACATACCTTGGGCACAACTTTCAAAATAAACAGTGTTATTTAAATCCTGGTTTTGAAAACTGGTCTAGATACAAATGATGGGATTTATCTCACCTTTTATGTAAGACTGGGTACCTGCATTTCAGGCAGTAAAATGTGGCTGCTATATAGAGAGAGGAAAAAAGGTATTCTACACCATGATTCACCTGCCCTATTTTTCAGTGGAATGCACTCCATCCTAGCAAGTTTTTATTTTCATTCACTATGATGACAGCACAGATAGCTAGCTCTGATATACATGCCTCTAGTTGCAGCAGAGGACATTGAGTGAGATGAAGCTGACACAGAGACTGTAATGGCTACAGTCCCTTAATGGATCTAAACTCTACCAAGAAACTATGATGACGCCCAGTCCTTATGCGATTGGCCCAAGGAATAGAGATAAGGATCAAACTAGTTTGACTTTGAGGCCAGCACCAAGGGAGCATTAGGTGACTCAGCATGGGACTGAATTCAAACATGCCTTGAACAGGAAATGCCCTAGAACAAGTGAACAGGAAATATATATCTAATCCCACCTGGCATTTCAGTCACCTAACTTGGCATTGCAGAAAGATGTCTACTTCCACTCAGAACCACAGGCCACAGCTCTTAGAAATACTCTTTTAGATACCTAAACTTTCTCTATTTTTTTCCTTGTTTTTTGTTTTATTTGTTTTGTTTTGTTTTGTTTTCAAGTGTGGCTGATGCTAGCAGGTGTGTTTACTGACAGTATAGAACCCACTCTGCCAGAAACAGGACAGAAACACACAAGTTAGATAAGAAAGAGTTTCAAGGCAACCTATCCACAGAAGCTTAGTGCTTCCTGAAAGCTGACTACCTTACTGAGGAGAAAAATTAGTCCAAGTGACACATTTATACACACTTAGTTTTGCCAAGCCTACATGGTGGATTTCCCTGTCTCTCCTCTGCATTTCTCTCCTTTGACTGAGCGGGAATTTGTCACCTCTCAAGGCAGTTTTATTAGCTTGAGAGGACAGACTGCTGAGGGTTGAAAGAAACTGTTTCTCCCTTCATGTTGAGGTATGGCATAACAATAATTTAATCCCTAAAATTTTTCTGGATATTCTGTTAATCTAGATTTCTGTGCTGCATTCACACTTAGCTTTAAATTAAAGAAGGAAGTGCTTTTCTCTCTTGTCCTGAGTTAAACAGAGACAATTCATAACAGCTAGCAAGAGGCTGTGTTTTGGATTTGTGCTCAGCAGAAAAGTTGATAAGAAAGGAATGTTTTATAATTTCTGAAGGTTCGTTCAGCGTCTTCGCGCTTCACAGACAGGGCGGGGGGGGGCTGGGACGGCACAGCCCCAGTTACTAGCCCAGGATTTGTTCTTCCGTTACTAGATTGAGAACCGGAGTGACCAATAATCTATTCCATAACATACACGTCATGCCCACTATATAGGTGAGGACCCTTCTGGAGGATCGCCCCTTTCCTTTTGGTTCTGAGGCCCTTCCGGTTTCGGTTCTCTTCTGGCTCTGGATC